TTATTATTATTATTATTATTATTATTACTACTTAGGCTTCTGAGACAAGAGTCTGACTACTGTAGCCCAGGCTGGCCTCTTGCCTCAATATCTCAAATTCTAGAATTGTAAACTTGATTGTTTATAAACTTGATTCTAACTTTTCATCACAAAATCTTCAATTTACCTTCTAAGACACTTTATTTTTGCTTTTGCTTTTATTTTTCTGTTTTTGAGTATACATTTAAGATGTCTTGGATCTGGCCTAATTTCAGCTGGTTCGTTGGCTTTTGTCCTTAGCCATGCTTGGCACATGTTGACTGGCTTTATCATTTTTAGGCATCATCGTAGACATTTGGACAGCAGTCCTCATGGGGGGGGGGAGAACATTCAAGTGTAAGTGAATTCAACAAAGAAAATGTTTGATTTATATAACCAGCCAGTGGTACTGTCACCAATTCCTATATCATAGTCCTTTTTTTTTTTTTAAGAAACTGCCAAACACTCAAAACTTATCAACTTCAAGTCATCTATCATTTTGTTTCTGACTGTCCGTTTCCTACACACACCAGCTTTGCTTCTGTACCTTTCTTCCTTAATGACCACACTTTTGCTACTCATGACACCAAAGGAGGTGCACCTTAAAGGTATCATCCTCTATTTATTAATCACTGCAGCGCCCTGTGATGTATAAACTGAGGTAGGCTGTGGACATATTTCCTCCAAGTATTATCTAGGATGGTGACTGATGATCAACTTTATGTGTCAACATGACTGGACTACAGGACACCCGGTGTTCAGTCAAATATGATTCTGTGGATACCTGCAAAGATATTTCTAGATAAATTCAATATTTGAGTCAGAGACTGAGTAAAGCAGATGATCCTGCTCATAGCCCACCCAACTCCAAGTTTTCATGTGTTCTAGCCAAACAATAAGGACCAAAGAGGATACAAAGATGGAGTAAGGTTGAATGTTGTCTGTCTTTAAATGGGACACTGACATGATCTTGTACAAAGAAATAGAGGCTCAGTCAAGGGCACATTCTATAGAAAGATGGAGAGGTTACATTAAAATGTTAGTATAAGTTATTATTTCAGGAAATAGTTTAAAACAGAATGACAGTAATCATCACATAAATCTTATTACTAACAGTTAAGAAAGAACAAAGTAAGAGTCCCATTCACAAAAAACTTCAAACATGTTAGCAGGTCACTCATTAGGATTATGAGTCAGATTAAATGAAGGATTTCACAGAAATGAAGCATAGGATACAGACTCAACGCCAGACCCTCAAGATGGCTCAGTAGGCAGAGGCATTTGCTGCCAGTCTTGAAGACTTGAGTTTGATTTAAGAAACCCACATAGGAGAAGGGGAGAGCTGACTCCTGCCCACATAGGAGAAGGGAGAGCTGACTCCTGCCCACATAGGAGAAGGGAGAGCTGACTCCTGCCCACATAGGAGAAGGGAGAGCTGACCCCTGCCCACATAGGAGAAGGGAGAGCTGACTCCTGCCCACACAGGAGAAGGCGAGAGCTGACTCCTGCAAGTTGTCATCCGACCTCCACATGCGGCATGTAATGCCCCAACCACTTCAATAAATAAACATGAGAGAAAGTAAAAACCCAGTGCACACAATTCCGTCATAATATTATCACCATTATTATAGTATGATTGGAGGGATGGTTATCAGCCCCTCATGAAACCTGGAACAAATTGTAAGGTCAATTGTATATGTGCAAAAGAACATTAAACAGGAAACACCAATCTAATTGGTCACTAATGTTCCAATTTTTATACCACGGAAAGAGAGGAGCAATAAGAACTTACATTGAGCTGAAGTTCATCTGTCCACTGTCCGATGAGACGGTAACCGGGGTTGGTGGTGTTTGTTGTCTGGTACTGGAAGATGTCATACCTCCCAGGAGCATCCCCGTTTTTGTTAAACATCACTGGGGTGCCAGCACTACCTGAAGAAGTAAAAAAAAAAAAAAAAAAAAAAAGACCAGAATTAGGCAAGATTCCTTCATGTCCTGAGCAAAGAAGTTAGGAGCTAACCCTATTTGTAGTAAGATGGCCTAGAACGTCCTCTTCAGCTAATGGAAGGTCATCTCTACAGACTGTGCTCCATTGTTACAGAATGGAGAAAGACAACCTGTATCTATTGAACTGTTTTATTCTTGACATTTCTGAAGTTTTCATTCTGAACCTTTCTCTTTCTAAGCCACAAAAAAAAAAACAAATCCATTTATCAATTTTCAGAGACAAAAAGTATGTTTTAATATAATTCTGCTGTTATCTGTGATTGCAATACTTGTGACAGCAATTGTTATTATGGTTTCCACTTAACACTAAATTGTAGTCAATAAAGAATAACTTCAAAAATAATAATTTTTAAAAATGATACATCATTAGAAGTAAGCAAAATAATTTACTTAATGTGCATTTCTGCACCAATTGAATTTAAAATATTTCTTGTGTTGATTATTTCTAATGGCTAGAATATCAGTATGAAATGCCCAGATGTATGCCTGGAAGACATTCCACAGAAACTAGTTTGTTTTTCAAGCCCCTATGTAGTTATATCTTCTTAAATATACACTTTTGAGGAAGAGATGAGATGTTTCAGCATATGAGAACATTTGTTACGTGAAACTGAGGACGTGAGATGCAATTTCCAGCACCTCTTCATTCCTAGTAAAAGAACTGGGATGTTCACTTTTTCAGTTAGATAGGTATTTCCTGATTATGTGTTTATATACATGTGCAAGTAGGCTTGTGAAAGGGTGACATGGTCAGGTGTCTGTGGTCACAGAGACAGAAAGATCACCAGGGCGTGCCGGCTGCCACCTTAGGGCAAAGGAGCATCCATAGTACACACCTTCTTATAGGGATGAATTTCAGGATGTTATGACAGTGCTTATTATCAGAAAGGAAAATCAGAGCTTGTGTTGGGATGAATAATGGTCCCAATATATCTCTTCTATAATGTTTTTTTTATTTGTTATTATTGTCAATGTTTTTTAATTTTTTATTAATTACAGTTTATTCACTTTTTATCCCAGTTGTAGCCCTGTCCCCATTCCCTCTCAATCCTGCCCTCCCTTCCTCATCTCCTCTAATGCTCCTCTCCAAGTCCACTGGTAGGGCAAGTCCTCCTCCCCTTCCATCTGACCCTAGTCTATCGGGTCTCCTCAGGACTGGCTACATTATCTTCCTCTGTGGCCTGGTAAGGCTGTTCTCCCTCCATCAGGTGGAGACGATCAAAGAGCCAGTCACTGAGTTCATGTCAGAGATAGTCCCTATTCCCATTACTAGGGAACCTAGGTGGAGAATGAGTTGCCGTGGGCTACATCCTTGCAGGGGTTCTAGTTTATCTCTAGGCATGGTCCTGGTTTGGAGTATCAGTCTATAATGGTTTCTAGGATGTGGCAGAATTCAAGACCATAAGATGAAGAGAATGTTCTGTATAATGTAAGTTGGCTCAATGTCCTTATATCAGTCTAAATAAAAGAGAGAAAAGGGGAGCCAAAGACTGTGTGTGTGTGTGTGTGTGTGTGTGTGTGTGTGTGTGTGTAGCTTATGAAAGAAAGGAGGAGTAGTTGGAGACATGCATTATAAATGACATGAGGTCCAGAATCTAGGAAATGGAAGAGAATAGATTTTTCTTCAGTCTGCAGAAGAACCCAGCCTTGCCTTCACCATTACTGGGGCCCAGGGAAACCTGTGGTAGTCTTTCATATTGCAGACATATAAGGTAAAGCATGCTGTAATGGCTAACCTAATGATAATGTTGAAACCCCTGGAAATAGGAAACCTCAATTAAACTTTTTTTATTTCATCAGGTTGGCCTGTGAGCATATCCTAGAGAATTTTCTTGATGGCTAATTACGATAGGAGGTACCATCACTAGGCAGGTGTCCCTAGGCAGTATAAGAAAAGTAGCTGGATGTGAGGCTGATAGCAGGCCTGTAAGCCATATTCCTAAAAAGTAGCCTCTGTATCAGTTCCTGTCTCTAGATTGTTTTGATCCTTTACCTTGAAGATTTTCTGTGATGTTCTGTATCCTATAAGCTTAAATAAATCTTTTCTCCTAAGTCATTTTTGGACATGGTGATTATCACAGCAACAAAAGGCAAAGTAAGGTCCATGTGTACTGTTCAAGAAATTAGATTATGGTTATATTTGGAGGTGGAGGTCAGTGGGAATTCAAAACACAAAATACCAAAACTTCCTCAATACAGTTAAGCAGCTGCTTAAGATCAGGTAGAAAAGGTCACCTGTCAATGACTCAGAAAATTAAACCAAAATAATACTTAGTATCTGGTTTTAGAAACTTTGAGAACAGGTTTAAATTAGAAATTAGAATCTAAGTATCTTTTTGACCTTAGCAAATTATTTAATTTCAGTCAGTCTCTGTCACTAGGGATACCTTTCCTTAGGGATACAGTGAGTACTGAACACAATAGGGTAACAAGGCACTTCTGCCTGTGCGCTTACATAAGACTCACCCCATTGAAATGCTTATTTTATTCTTTTTTATTTATTACAATTTATTCATTTTGTATCTCAGCTGTAGCCCCCTCCCTCATCACTTCCCAATCCTTCCCCCCCATTCTCATCCCATGCCACTACACAAGTCCACTGATAGGGGAGGTCCTGTTCTCCTTCCTTCTGACTCTAGCCCATCAGGTCTCATCAGGACTGCTGCATTGTCTACCTCTGTGACCTGGTAAGGTTGCTTCCACCTCAGGCAGAAGTGATCAAAGAGGCAGCCACTGAGTTCATGTCAGAGGCAGTCCCTGTTCCCCTTACTAGAGTACCCACTTGGAGACTGAGCTGCCATGGGCTATGTCTGTGCAGGGGTTCTCTCCATGCATGTTATCTGTGCAGGTTATCTCCATGCATGATTCTTGGTTGGAGTATCAGGCTCAGAAAAAATCTCTGTGCCCAGACTTTTCAGTTTTGTTGCTCTCCTTGTGGAGCTCCTGTCCTCTCCAGGTCTTTCTATCTCGCCCTTCTTTTATAAGATTCCCTGCACTCTGCCCAAAGTTTGGCTATGAGTCTCAGCATCTGCTTTAATACTATGCTGGGTAGAATCTTTCAGAGGCCCTCTGTGGTAGACTCCTGGCCAGTTTCCTATTTCCTCCCTCTTCAGATGTCTATCTGATTTACCTCTCTGAATGAGGATTGATCATCTTATTCAGGCTTCTCCTTCTTGCTTAGCTTCTCAAGGTGTACAGATTTTAGTATGTTTATCTGATAGTATATGTATTATGTCAATTTATAAGTGAGTATGTATCTATGTATCTTTCTGTTTCTGCGATACGTCACTCAGGATGATCTTTTCTAGTTCCCACCATTTGCTTGCAAACATCATGATTTCCTTGTTTTTAATTGCTGAGTAGTAATCCATTGTGTAAATGTGCCACTATTTCTGTATCCATACCTCAGTTGAGGGACATATAAGTTGTTTCTAGATTCTTGCCATTAGGAATAAAGCTTCTCCGAACATGGCTGAGCAAATGTCCTTGTTGGATACTTGAGCATATTTTGCATATATGCTTAGGAGTGGTATAGCTGGATCTTGAGGTAGCACTATTCCTAATTTTCTGAGGAAGCGCCAGATTGATTTCTAAAGTGGTTGTACAAGGTTACATTTCTACCAGTAGTGGAGGAGGGATTTCTTTTTCCACATCCTCTCTTGCATGTGTTGTCACTTGAGTTTTTGATCTTGGCCATTCTGATGGGTGTAAGGTGAAATATCAGGTTCATTTTGATTTGCATTTCCCTGATGACTAGGGACACTGAGCATTTCTTTAAGTGTTTCTCTGCCTTTCAATACTCCTCTATCGAGAATTCTCTGGTTAGCTTTGTACCCCATTTTTAATTGGATTAATTGATTTGTTGCTTTTTAACTTCTTGAGTTCTTTATATATTCTGGATATTAGCCCTCTGTCAGATATAGGGTTGGTGAAGATCCATTTCCAATATGTAGGCTGTAATTTTGTTCTCATGACAGAAAAAGCTTCTTTACAGAAGATTTTCAGTTTCATGAGGTCCCATTTATTGATTGTTGATTTTAGAGACTGAGCTGTTGTTCTGTTCAGGAAGTTGTCTTTTGGGCCAATGAATTCAAGGCTCTTACCTACTTTTTTTTCTAAGAGAACTAGTGTGCCTGTTTTTATGTAGAGGTTTTTGATCCACAGGACTTTAGTTTTGTGCATGGTGATAAATATGGACCGATTTGTACTTTTCTACATGTAGACATAAAGTTAAACCAGCAACATTTATTGAAGATGCTATCTTTTTTTCCATTTTATGATTTTGGCTTCTATGTCTAAAATCAAGTATCCATAGGTGTGTGGGTTTCTTTCTGGCTATTCTATTTGATTCCACTGATCCACCATTCTGTTTCTATACTGATACCATGCAGTTTTTATTACTATTGCTCTGTAGTATAGCTTGAGATCAGGGATGAAGATTGCCAGAGGATCTGTGTTGTACAGGATTGTTTAAGCAATTGTGTATTTTTTGTTTTTCCATATGAAATTGAGAAGTATTCTTTCAAGTTCTGTAAAGTATTGTCTTGGTATTTTGATGGAAATTGTATTGAATCCGTAAATTGCTTTTGGCAGGATGGCCATTTTCACTATGTTTATCATACTGGTCCATGAGCATGGGAGAGCTTTCCACCTTCTGATATCTTCTTGAATTTCTTCAGAGACTTGAAGTTTGTTTTGTTTTTTGTTTTTTTCAAATAGGTCTTTCACTTGCTTGGTTAGAGTCACACCAAGGTACTTTATCTTATTTGTGGCCATTGTGAAGAGTGTAGTTTCCCTAATTTCTTTCTCAGCCCTTTTGTCTTTCATCTTCATCAGGCCTATTGTTTTGTTGTTGTTTGTTTGTCTTTTGAGTTAATTTTGTATCCAACCAGTTTGCTGAAGGTGTTTATGACCTGAAGGAGTTC